CCCTCGGGGTGCTTGTACTGGTGGGTGATGTCGATGCGGGCGGTGGAGCCGGGCCCCAGGGTGCTGATGCGGCGCCCGATGGCGCCTTCCTCCACGTGCACCACCGAGAAGGTGCCGTTGGGCTGGCGCTGCCAGTACACCTTGTCGCTGTTCACCTGCGCCCCCACAGCCCCGGGTGGCCCCTCGTTACGCTCAATTAGCCCTTTATTAGCCTCAATTAGCCACTTATTAGCGTCTATTACACCCATTAGAATCATTTAGCCCTTTATTAGCCTCGACTAGCCACTTATTAGCGTCTATTAGCCACGTATTAGTGTCTATTAGCCACTTATTAGGTCAATTAGGACCTTATTGACGTCAATTAACCATTTATTAGCGTCAATAAGCCATTTATTAGCTCAATTAGAGCCTTATTAGCCTCGATTAGGCCCCTTATTAGCCTCAATTTGCCATTTATTAGCACAATTAGCTACTTATAAGCCTCAATTTGCCATTTATTAGCACAATTAGCCCCTTATTAGCCTCAGTTAGCCATTTATTAGCGTCAATAAGGCATTTATTAGCTCAATTAGACCCTTATTAGCGTCAATTAGCCATTTATTAGCGTCAAATAGTCCGTTATTAGGTCAATTAGGACCTTATTAGCGTCAATTAGCCCTTTATTAGGTCAGTTAGACACTTATTAGCGTCTATTAGCCACTTATTAGCGTCAATTAGTCATTTATTAGCGCCAATTTACCATTTTTTAGACGCACTTAGCCCATTATTGGACTCAATTAGCCGTTTATTAGCTCAGTTAGCCCCTTATTAGCGTCACTTAGCCGTTGATTAGCGTCAATTAGCCTTTTCTTATGTCAATTAGCACTATATTAGGTCAATTACCCCATTATTAGCCTCAATTAGCCCTTTATTAGCTCAATTGGCCATTTATTACCTCAATTAGCACATTGTTAGCCTCAATTAGCCCCTTATTAGCCTCTATTAGGCCCTATTAGCCTCAATTAGACGTTTACTAGGTCAATTAGCCATTTATTAGCCCTTTATTAGCCTCAATTCGGCCTTTGTTAGGGCAATTAGCCTTTTATTAGTGCCATTTAGCCCTTTATTAGGGCAATTAGCCCTTTATTAGCGTCAAATAGCCTCAATTTGCCATTTTTTAGCCACTGTTAGCCGTTCATTAGCCTCAGTTAGACCCTTATTAGCCTCAATTAGCTCTTTATTCGGGGATTTAGCCCTTTATTAGACTCAATTAGCCCTTTATTAGCCTCAATTAGCCAATTATTAGCGTCAATTAGTCATTTATTAGTCCCTATTAGCCATTTATTAGCCCAATTAGCCCCTTATTAGCCTCAATTACTCCCTTACTAGCCTCATTTAGCCCTTTATTAGCGTTAATTATCCCCTCCTTACCCTTAATTAACCCCCATTAGCCTTAATTAGCCCCTCAATGGCGCTACTCAACCCTTACTCGCCTTAATTAGCCCCTAATTAGCCTCGATTAGATCCCAATTAGCGCAAATCAAACCCTGGTCAGCGTTACCGGGACCCCCCTTGGCCTTAATTAGGCCCTAATTAGCGCTAATTAGCCCTAATTAGCCCCTACCTCAGCGAACACGAAGGGGGTGTCGTACTTGAGGAAGACCTCCCCGTTCTTCACCGCCTCCACCGAGCAGGGCCCGCAGCAGAACAGCCCTGTATGGACCAGTATGGACCAGTATGGACCAGTATGGAGCAGTATGGACCGGTATGGACCAGTATGGACCGGTATGGACCAGTATGGACCGGTATGGAGCAGTATAGACAAGTATAGACCAGTATAGGCAAGTATAGACCAGCGTAGACCAGTATAGACCAATATAGACCTGTATAGACAAGTATAGACAAGTATAGACCAGTATAACCAGTATAGACCAGTATAGACCAATATAGACCAGTATAAGCAGTATAGACCACTATAGACCTATATAACCAGTATAGACCAGTATAGACCAGTATAGGCAAGTATAGACCAGCGTAGACCAGTATAGACCAATATAGACCTGTATAGACAAGTATAGACAAGTATAGACCAGTATAACCAGAGTATAGACCAGTATAGGCAAGTATAGACCAGCGTAGACCAGTATAGACCAATATAGACCTGTATAGACAAGTATAGACAAGTATAGACCAGTATAACCAGTATAGACCAGTATAGACCAATATAGACCAGTATAGACCAATATAGACCAGTATAGACCAATATAGACCAGTATAGACCAATATAGACCAGTATAGACCAATATAGACCAGTATAGACCAATATAGACCAGTATAGACCAATATAGACCAGTACTATAGCCCAGTATAGACCAGTATAACCAGTATAGACCGGTATAGACCAATATAGACCAATACAGACAAGTATAGACCAGTATAACCAGTATAACCAGTATAGACCAGTATAGACCAATATAGACCAGTATAACCAGTATAGACCAGTATAAGCAGTATAGATCCGCTGCTGGTCTCCTGGGGGGTGGCGTCCACAACCTGCCACCCATCGTGGCCAGAGGGGAGGTCGGGCCTCTTCATCCAGCAGTCGTTCCACACGTGGAAGTTCCTGTATGGACCAGTAGGGACCAGTATGGACCAGTATGGACCAATATGGACCAGTACCACATGGAGACAGTGTTAATGGGCTCTATGGGCTTCCTGACCCCTAAAAACCCCATAAACCCCCCCAAACCACCCCAAACCCCCCCTAAAACCCCAAACCAGTATAGACCAGTATGGACCAGTATGGACCAATATGGACCAGTACCACATGGAGACGGTGTTAATGGGCTCCATGGGCTTCCTACCACCTAAAAACCCCATAAACCCCCCCAAAACACCCCAAAACCCCAAACCAGTATAGACCAGTATGGACCAGTCTGGACCAGTATGGACCAGTACCACACGGAGA